CGTTTGTCAAATTTTGTTTACATTTTTTATTTTCATGAATTCACATTTTTACTTAATGATTTTTTTTGTTCTTATTGGGCAGTTTGGTGACGTCATTACCCATGATGTGTTGCTGTCATTTAAACCTACATTAGAGGTCATGGTGGGTGTGGTAATTTTTGCCGCCAAAATATACACCACTTATCCAATTTATTGCTTTTGTGGGAGGCAAGTCTATAACTAATTTATTACTAGCACATGTAAAATTTTAAATGAATATATTTTAAACATTTTTTTATATATTTATTTCTGAGCAAGATATTTTTTGTTTACTGATTTGATAGGGTAGTTCTCAACTATTTAAATACAATGTTTAATTAATTGAATTAAAATCGACAGTAAAAAACACATTACATGCAGTTAACGCTAAGCTCTTGGCATTATTTTTAAAGGTCTGCACTTGACACAGTGTGGGGAATGTTCTGGAAAATAAGCCAAGAAGACATGTTGCACAAAGAAAAGACACGACGTGTCATAACGACATTGTTGTGGTTCACCTTGACCCTGCTACTTTCTATTTACATTCCTAATATTGGCGTGGTCATACAGCTTCTAGGCGCCTTATCTTCATTTTTTATGTTTATTTTTCCTGGTATGTTAATGAATTATAGATTATAACTAGAATACCCGTCATCCGTTGGATAACTGTGGGTTTCGGGGGTCATCCATAAAAAACATCACGTCTGTCACTCAGAGGCATAGCGACCCTTCCCGGCGCCCGGGGACAAACTTTTCGATTTTAACCCCCCCCCCCCAAGATTTCGATTTTCAACCCCCCCCCCCCTCAAACTTTTGATGTGCACCCCCCCCCCCCACTCAAACTTTCGATTTGAACCCCCCTCAACCTTTCAATTTATTCCTCCAAACCATTTTGGCGCCCCAACATATGTCCCCCCGCCCCCCCCCCCCCTTCCCCCCTCCACCTCCCCCCGCCTCCCCTTCCCCCCCCCCCCCCCCGCCTCCCCTCCCGCCCCCCCCCCCCCCCTCCTCGCTACGCTACTGCAGTGTCACTTATCGTCACAAAAAACAGACCCCACATTCAAAAATATGTTTCTTATCTTTTAAAAACACTGAAAACACCGATTTCGGACTATCCCTTCATATACTGACGTCACATGTGACCTACTCAACTCTACTTCACCTGCCCAGTGTCCCGCCAAGTTTCAGACAACATGTTTTTATCGTTTAAAAAACTATTCCAGCCGAGCATGTCTCTGACCACACTATCCTTTCATATGCTTAGGACAAAGAAACAGATGAACTCTACTTCACCTGCCCTGTATCCTGCCAAGTTCAGATAGGCAACTTTATCATTCACATCTAAAAAAAAAAAATTGAAAAAAAATATCATTGACATATTGGTCTAGAACCTGTACCACCCGCATGAGAGCGGACTACGCTAACAAATTAGCTATTTACTCGTGACGTCACAAATGAATTTTTATACTATACTTTTGAGTCTCCGCGCATAGATCTAGATCTAAGTCTAGTAGTAGTAACTTTCAAATTAAATTTTATCTTAAATTAGACAAACAAAGATATATATAAAATAATTAAGGCCTGAAACAGATTCTAGATGTATTAAGGCCTGAAATAGATTCTAGATGTAGAATTTACATTAAGTCTAGATCTAGAATTTACATTGAGTCTAGTGACCTAGATCTAGGCTAGATCTAGGCTAGATTCATAACTTTCCTTCGACAGCTGATCTTTAGATCTAGAGAAATTTATTGTAAAACTAAATGAAAAAAGACAGTTTAAAATTGATATAAGTGTTGGAACGTAATAAATACAGCAAACGGACGTATTGTTAAAGTTATGACCGACAGAAAATTAGATTTAGAACGCGTTAAACTTTTGAATGGGAACACAATTTTCTTCGATAGACGCCGCCATTTTATTGTACTAAAGAGTAAACAAAAAACTGTGACGTCACGGTCCCGCCGAGTGTAGTGGTCGTTCTAAACTTTAAAAAAAAAATGGGTTACTCTGCGTATGAATAAATCAATAAATTAATTAACGTCTTTAAATAAATGTGTGATTAACAGTCTGTCTTAAAACAAAAAAATTTCTCTACCTACATACTATTTTACAGCTTTCCACGATGAGTGCAACCATGCGAGATAGTCAATCAGGCAAACAAACAAACAAACAAAAAAACAAAAAAATAAATATTCAAACATGTAAACAAACTTGACTTTTAGTAGTATATAGATAGATAGATAACAAGACCATAGTTATAAAAAAGGTTTAAATGGAATTAGTAATTAATTCAATCAATTTCGTCTACCGGCATTTCACTGTTCTGAATAGGAGTCGGCGTGGTCGAGTCGGTAAAGCTCATGGTTGCTAAACCGAAAAGTCTCGAGTTCGAACCCTCGGGCAGATGAGGCTCGTTAGCTGGGGACAGCCACTCCTCTAGGAGAGACAACTCCAAAATTAAACAACTGCTGTCTTGTAGTTTGTTCTTGGTTGAACAAAGGCTATGGAAGCAAATCCAAAAAGAAAAGCAGGCTAGAATCGGAGTCAATGGCCTCAATGGCGCATAACCAGTTGACACGTAACGCTTAATTGGCGGCGTGGTCGATGGTTGATAAATTCGAACAAAGTCTCGAGTTCAAACCCACTGGCAGATAAATCTCGATCCCCTTCGACACTAATAATTAAGAACGAAGAAGAAGAAGACTGTTCTGAATTAATTCAAACAGGTATATACTATGTGTGTATTTTATACATGTGTTACATATATTAAAAGTTAAAAATAAATTGTGTCCTATACATAATATAATAAATCATAAATCCTCCAATATATTAGTTTGTTTTTCAGGTCTATGCTTATTAAAGACAATGCAGACTAGAATTGAATCGGACGAGAAACAGCCCCGGAGTGTGTACATGTTAAGAGCGATGGCCATCTTCTTTATTATAGGCGGTGTGTTTATTTTTGGATTCATCGTGTCGGTAGTGGTTATGGACATTCAGACAGCCAAGCCAGACTCGTCCACGTTCTCATGCAACTAGATTTTATACTGCTACCATGTGGGTTTTGTGTTAATTGGATATAGGCCTAAATGCAAATAATTAAAATGTATCTTTTGCTCATTTTCTCCAAGATTACTTTAAAATCAATTTTTTCTTTAAACGAAATCAGTAATAACAGATGCAAAAGATAGGAAACATGCTACATATTATCTGCCTTACAGTATTTAAGTGATACAGCGTTTGTTGTCAACAACTTATAAGAGTAACAGGTTGCTTATTTAAAAATAGATTTCTACACAACAAATGGTGCTAAACAGAAGGCGATATATCTACGCCAAGAATCGAAACATCCAGCAAACTACACACTCATTAATGTAGAGGGTCATCCATGACGTTACGCATTTCTTGGTGAAGATTTTTATTTCCCTCCTCCCCTCCATTAGACATCGTCAAAAACAAGACATAGCCCCAATTATGACGTCACTCCCGAACATACAGGTTTTTTTTTCTAAAATATTCACAGGGATCGGTATATTTAGAGTATTTTAATCATTTTCTATTGCAATTTGTTAAAACAGCTTTCTAAAATGGAAACAACGGCTAAAGTTCAGTTTCTAACATTCTTAAACCACGCTAAATAGCAGCACCCCATTATGGGTATACAAAATTAAAAATCGAAATATGCTAAGGCTGAGTAAAATTACCACCGACTTAGAAATGATAGGACTACACAATGTATTGCCTATTGCAGCCACAGTTTCTTCCAGGCATCTCTTCGGGTGGGCGGAGCCACGCTGAAGAAAGTCTACCCCCCCCCCATGAACGAAATGGAATTTATATAGAAAACATACTGTAACCAGTGTTCGCCCCCCCCCCCCCCCCGGAAAATGGTGTCCGCCCCCGCTCCCCCCCCCCCCCCCGAAAGTATCAAATGCCCCCCCCCCCCCCCCCCTCGGAGAAAAAAAGTCTGGAAGAAACACTGATTGCAGCACGATGCTCTTTTTTTTTAAACATTTCTAACTATTTATCTAAAACGGTAGGTCTGTGTATTGATCACAAAACGTTGTACTGTGTCTATTGCTACAGCCAAAATGTTAGTATATTCCGCGTCAACATAGAATTTGATGGACTACTAATTGTAAACCAATTTTCGAGAAATAATATAATTGAAAACATAAATGTAAACATTATGTTGTGTGGCATAACATGGCTTGCAAAAGAGCCATGAATATCCTTGGACTTCGTTAAAAAGTTAAAACAAAACAAAACATCAAAGCGTATTCAAAATCTATCTTACTTGAGTAAGCTCCATTAAATTTGACCAACCACTTTCTAAAGGCAACATACGATGTAATTGTTGGCTTATGTAATTTTCAGTGCACAGAGATCAAATGGTGTTTATTTTCTTTTGTTTTATTGTATTTTTTTTCATCTGTACATGTTGTGCATTATGCACAAACATTCCGCACCATCGCAAGCAATATTACATGCGATTCCTGGGACTTGTCTTGTTTTTTCTTTGAAACTTCTGTTGTATGAGTAACTTTTCGGTTCTTCAAAAAAATGTACTAAATAAAACGATATATTGCTACCAGGGCAAATACATCAAAACGTATTCTCAACTTCAATATATCGAGTAAATTAATCGCACATGTTTTGAAATAGACACGACGACCAACGTTTTACTCAGTAACACACACATGCAACACAGAATATCTGTCGACAGTAAAAGGAAAACATTATTATTAATTTATTAGCAATTAAAACATTAGGCTCAAAACGATAAATATATCTACGTCTGAGTATTCGTTTTATACGTGTCTTGTGTTCCACGCAACATATGAAATACCATTTTATGTATATATTTTTTTATTATTCATGTAAGTGTAATTTAATATTCTCGAAACGTTCTGCGCATGTTATTTTTTATTGTGACCAAAATAGCTTCAAGGCTACGTGTACTAAAACACAGTTATATTTTACAAATTAAAGCATTTTATTCGTTGCTGCCAGTGTTTGTAAGGGGAAAAATCTACTAATGTGTATTACCCCCCCCCCCCCACACACACACACTCCAACCCCAAGCCCGTTACTGAAAGAAATAGAAAAGTATATACTGTAATAGTTTTTCATTACCTCCCCCCTCACTCGCCTGTTTTTTTTTAAATATTGCTTTGTTAGAAATATATTCATTGCTGTGTTTGAGGAATATCTACTAGAGTGAATCACACCCCCCCCCCCCTCCCTCGATAACTCAACTAAAAGTAATAGAAAAGTATATACTTTATAATTTTTGGTATTCGTGAATAATGGTTTTAACGTGAACGAAACCCATTATTATTAGGTGTATTAGGTGACCTCTAACCTGAACCAAAAACACAACATCATTTCGAACACCTGTTATTCATTTGAACGATAACACACATTTCTTAACCCTGACACATACACATCATAACTAAAAACATATAATGCGTCAAATGATGCTTAGATAATTTTCTTACAGGAGTTTGATAATGATCTCCTCATATTAGATTACATTTCTGTAAAATATGCTGCAAGTGTTCGACAATAATAATGTTAATTAAACTAGTTTATTGAGGGATTCATAAGCAGAGTTTCTTTCAGGCATCTTTTCGAGGGGTCCACCTACCCCCCCCCCCCTCCCTCAAGAAAATATCAAACCCCTCCTCCCAAGTAGTTAGGCAAAATTAGTGATTACTAAGGAATAGTTGGATAATACAAAGTAAGAAAACTATATTTTGTTGATGAATCCATTGTATTTTCTGTATATAGTTTAGACAACAATTATCCGATTTTACTTTAAACATCTTTAGGGGACGGTTTGGTCGAACGGTAGAGCGTTTGACTGCTAGTGCGAAGGTCTTGAGTTACGTATAGTTGTTTGCAATTTTATCCCTACATATGCCGAGGTTATTAAAATAGATGGAATCTAGTTCATCTGCTTCCTATGTATTTAGTAATAACGGGAAAATAATGATGATTTAAAACAATTCGAATTTAGAGTTATGTTTCATAGAATTGTGGCAACTAATGGAATGTAGCAATTTATATTCATAGGGACAAGAGCCCTAACAATTATTGTAATAAAACGAATTTTACTTGTTAATAATAAATTTATTTTAAAAAACTGTATAGTATCAGAAGGGTTGGGTTATTTGAAACCATGTTCAGCTTTGCTATACAAGATATCTCATTATTTTATACAATTAATTCACATTGAATGATATATTTCAGGATTATTTTCAAAAATATAAAATATGTATATACTTCTGATACTCACCACATAAAAAAATATTTAAAACAATAAAAGAGTAAGTCTGTGTGTGGTATTTTAGTGCTTGATACATAATTATCATTAGCGACTACCTGACAGGGAGTTAACTTAGAAGCATATCATTTTAAATTTATTTTAGTGCTGTTGCGTCCCTTATGTATTAATAAATGTAATAGTTTTTAAATACTGCATTGATCTGAACACAACATGATTGTCATACAATGCATGATTTTATTGGATCTCCTAAGTGTAGAATATATGGTGCATGGTTAAGATATGAATTAATTGATTATTTGTAGTTGGTTTTGATTTCATGTGGTGATTAACACAACGAAAAATGTTTTTATGGTTAATGTTTGATTAGATTGATCAAAATTTCTCAAAAGGCTATCAAGTTTATTATCTATATATATAATTCTCTTCTTGGAGACGTTAGAAAACAAGCTGTAAGCGCGCCTTACAGTCCCCTCTCCTCCTCTCTAGGAAGTCTGGTGCGCTGTGGTTCACCCTAATTGTTTACAATCGTAGAGCCGGGTTTAGTGACTTCTATTAGGGGCAGATAATTTAGTTTGAAACGATTTTAAACTTAGGAGAGGTAGCCAAGAGGGGGGGGGACGGATTGGGGAAAGGAGGGGGGTGGTTATCGTCCTTAACGAGCTACTGATAGTGTTTTAAAGCAAATATATTAAGTGGCAGCATTGGTAATGTCGAATTCACAAAATATGAATTACTGAAAAGTAGAAAATAAAACAACTAAATAGCGGCGTTAGCGGCGTATGACACGCCGCGGGTCGGCTCGTTTTAATTGATTAATCAACGTTGCTCAAATGCTTTCATGCTTATTGTTTTATTTGATTCATCAACATTTCCCAAAACTCCTCCGTATCCTCATACAACAAAGACCTGTGACTCTGGTTTCTGATGTAGGTCACGATCTCCACTGGCCAGGTGTTGACCTGAAAGTGACCCACAAAAACAGGCACGATGATCCTATCAGAACAATTCATTTCGTGCATGATGGCCAGGTTCATCTCGAGTTCCCGGTAACGGTCTTCAAAGATATCTCGCGAGAGTAGGACGAGAGTTTTTCTCGTGCCGACTATGGCACCAGCGATGTTGTGATTCTGTGGACCGGCCTGGAAGTGGTCCTCCCCGTGGAGGTAGGTCACGTGGTTGTCTTTTAGCCAAGGGATGAAGACTTGTCTAGCCAGGCGAATGTATTCTGGTTCCTGTACAAATGTTTATGTGGATGTTTATTTCTTTGAAAATTAAATTTATTTTAATTTTTTTTTTTAAATTTAAAACGTAACATGTTCTTCCCGGTGAGTTTTCGTAATTAGTTTCTGTAGCTAATGTATGGCAATATCATCCCATCCCCTAACTCTGTGTAAGGATTAGCCGGACAAGCTAGAAGTGTGTTGCAATTAAATTCATTATACAATTTTTAAAAAAATACATTCTACAACTTAATTCAAATACTAAATGAATAATAAACCTAACTCTATTACATTTTAGTTTCTATGTTAGACTTTACTTTCAATTCACAGAAATGACTTTACATTGGACCAATAAAAATTAAATTAACTAAATAAAACTATAAAGATTTCAACGTTTCGAAAGGAGTAATTTTGGCCTTTATCAGCATGTCGTTTAACCCATTTACTTTCCTATATAATTTTTTTAAAACTCTCTGTATAAAGAGCTCGAAGTTAAAAAATTATAACCCCATTTCAATAAATTAAACATAATAATAATATCTAAACAGAATAGTTAAATGCTTATTTTATTATATGGTCAATTATGTTTAAACCAAGGTGAAATACTAGACTACTTCTTCATTGGTAAAAGTTTTCACCTTGTAGAACCAGCTTTTCAAATTTTCAAAAAATTCAGATCCATGTTTTTAAAGGGAACTTTTTGTTATCAAAAATTAATTAAGTTTGTTCACATTTGTGCTCATTGCAGAGTGAATAAGTAAACTCGAAAGTATTTGAATGGAACAAAATGGTCAGATGTTAATGCATACGATTGCTAACCCAAAAGTCTCGAGTTTGAATCCGAGTTCAAGGCAGTAGAAATTCAAAAGTCCACCAAGCCGCTGGGCATAGTGCTGACAGAGGACAAAGAAACAAGAGACCTCTAAGTTACGTGATCCATGGGCCGCCAGGTTCAAGAGTGAACTAAACTTTTAATTTTATATAGAGCACGTGATAAGTAATATGTATAGATACTAAAGATACATTTTCAAAATGTTCTTACCTGCTCGTATGTAATAAAGACCTCTGCAATTTGTTTATACACCAATGGTACATCACCAACGTGAAGTTTCTTTGATCCAATGAAATAGAGGTACGCAAATTTCCATCTGTTGTAGTAAAACATGGCCGACAACAAGACAGTGCCGAGAACGATGAAAAACGTAACGAGAGTTCCAATGAAAATTTCCTGAGAGACACAGCTCTTCATTAACTGAGGGTAGAATGTGGCCAGTTGGTCATGTGATAAGTTGGAGCCGTCAATTGTGGTACAGTTGATGGAGTCTACACTATCAAATATGTCTGGGTGGGTGATTAGAAGATGGACGAATGACAGGTACTCGCAAGTACACATCAGAGGATTGGATTGGATTCTGATCTTAAAGTTTGGATTCCTAGTTTTTAGTTCAGCGAAATCTTGGCAGTTGTTCTCAGAAAAACCTGCTACGAGATTATTAGATAAATCAAGGACCTCCATGTTTTTAATGTTGTATAGGTCAACATCAAAACGTGTCAAAGCATTTCTTGAAAGATTTAACCATTTCAAATGTACGTTATTTTGAAAGAAATTTCTAGATAACGTTGTTATAGTATTTCCGCTGATGTTCAAGGTCTCTAACCTCGTCAGTGTGGAGAATGATATGCCTGAGGTGTCGTTGGATAAACTCACACCTAGAACATTGTCGTATAGGAGAAGTGTCGTCAAATTTGTGAGGTATTTGAAGAATAGTACGTTCATTTTAACACAGTAATTTTTTGATAAATCAAAATGCTGAAGCGATGGTAGTCCACTTAAAGGCCCTTTCCAGCACCTAGCCAAGTTGTTAGAATAATCAAAATACTTAAGTACCTTATTATTTGTAAATCTCAGTTCCGGCCATATGTATTCAATTTTCATGGAACTAGCAACAATAACTTCAAGACTAGGAGGTAACGGAAAAGTAATTGGTTTACTTGATGGTTGTATTTGTGTGAAGTTCCTGAATGAATATTCATTGGAAATAAATGTGACATGTTTTACTGTACTCTGTCCACAAAACTCATCGAAGCTATGTTGTATTTCTACTTGCGTCTAATCACGTCTCTCGTCGCTGCCTGACTGTGTAAGAGTAAAATGATTCTGGTAGCTTGTGTCTATAGTCTTGACGTGACGAAGAGTCAACATAGCCATCAGAACGTCCGGCTTAGACAAGGCATTACCTTTAAGAGAAATATACTCAAGAGTTGCCGGTAGGTAGGTAAACGCGAGGCCATGCACAGAGTAAATTCCGTTTTTGGACAGATCAAGGTATTTGAGTGTTGTGTTTTTTAAATAACGAAACATGTACCTCGTAATAGTATACAGCTTGATTTCATCTCTGTTTATAAAACGGAGTGTAATTTTCGTTATATTTGAACCATTTAAATACTCGGATCCTGATTCAAACCCCTTTAAGGTGATCGGAATTTTATTCATGTCAATCGTTTCCAAATTTTTAATTCCACGTAGCACTCCGGGAAGAAGTTTCTTGAATTTACAATAATGCATACATAACGTGAAAAGTTTATGGGATGCAAGGTTCTGAAAAAACTTTTCGGGCATTGCCTTGCCAAAATCGCAATAGCCTTTCGAACCGTCAAAATAAATATACTCCAAATTAAGAAGACTTCTGAAACCAGCACTGAGCTCAATCGGCAACCCATCTAAAGAAATCTTCCTAAGATTTGTCAGTTTTGAAATTGCTTGATCCGGGTAAGTCATGTTTAAATTAACCTCGCTGTTATATATCAATTGTAAAGTTTCTAACTGGTCCAGCCCATTAAAAGCATCCAATTCAAAAGTAGACACTGTATAACTTAATCCATTGCCAGAAAGATTAAGCGTTTTTAACGAACTTAATCCGTAGAATGTGTTATTCAATACTCGGTATAGTTTGTTATACGAAATATCAAAGAAGTGTAGCGACGCGAGATTTTTGAAGACGAATGGCGTTAAGGTATTGATAGTATTTGAGTTTAAATCTAAGTAAGTTAAATGAATTATATTCTCAAAAGCTTCTTCCACATGGGACAGTTCATTGTTGGTAATTTCCAATTTCTCTAGTTTAGTCAAGTTCGCAAACGTGCATTTTTCTAGCGTATTGATCTTGTTGTGTGATAATCTTAATATGCGTAAGTTGAGAGTTTTTGCGAAATCCTGACACGTTATAAAAGTGAGGCGGTTGTTTTGTAAGTCCAATACGGTCACATGAGAAGGTATGTCTGGAATTTTAAGCAAACCTTTATTAGAACAGTCTACGGTCAAACCTTTAAAGGCTGTATCTAGAGAGCACTGGCAAGGTGAAGGACACAATGACGTGACGGGTTTGGCACCTTTCACGAAATCTGGATTGAGTTTTCTTGCCATCTCTTCATGTTGTGTTTGTGTTGGGTGGACAAGTAGAGATAGGAGCAATATACAGGAGACCATGCAGTGTGTTATGGAACACATCCTCTGTGGTTATACATATTTAATTATATACATATACATATATACATATACATATATAAATATAAATACATATATATAAATATAAATAAATAAAAAAATAAAATTTAAATATATATATATATATATATATATATATATATATATATATATATATATATATATATATATATATATAATATATATATATATATATATATATATATATATATATATATATATATATATATATATATATATATATATATGCATTTGTAATTCTTATTACTTTATCTGCATCTAAAAATAAATTGCAAAAAAAGCCTTGGCTAAAATCCAGTCGTAGAAGTAGCCACAGCCCCAGCCATAGCTACAGCCAGAGCCAGAGCTACGGCCATAGCAATAGCTATGTAATATTATAGCTTATATTTACAACGAATAAAAAGTATCGTCATCTTTAATATACGAAAATAATACTAACTACATCAAACTTACGAGTTAGTTCCCCTCTTCTACAGTCCCTCTTAGACTGGCCCCATTTATTATACAGTCCTGGGTTTACCCGTCTAGATTTCTGAGGAAAAAATGTGATTGCTCCCCTTTGTAAATAATAGCTTTTATCATCGGCGCGGCATTTATGTGGAAGCTAATGCCATCTCATAGCAACCAAGTGTCACTGTACCACACCTTTGCACGTTGAAGCCACAGTTTAATTTTTCAAATGTAATATTTACCTTTACCATAGCAAAGGAATGTATGGTTTACATTGAGTGGCTCAACTCAAGCATTGTGCCTCCACACCGGTCACCCCCCCCCCCCCTCCCCCACACTTCCTTTCATTCATCTCGCCAACCTCTCTTAAGCGTGGATGTTTAAATAGACTGTTTGCACTGTCTTAAATTTCCAGGGAAATAATTTTTATCGAGGTTAAATACGGTTTTATCCACAGGAAGAGATTTTATTGAAATGTTGTTTTTTTAAATCAACACTTGTTATTGTAGAATAAAACGTTTTTTTTAATGGAACTTTTGTTAACATAGTTTCTGTTCCTTTCTCTAAAAAAATTTGGTCTAGATTAGTCAGTTTTATTCAGGTTTAAAAAGAAGTTTGTATGAGAATAGTAATTTTATTGTTCTGTAACATGGTGTTTGTGTGTTTAAGGTTATATATCAAGGCCTTGATTTTCTCTTAAAAAATATTTGAATGGACTCACTAGTTTGTTTGCAAAAATAGTTATTACCAATTAGAATCAGCATGTATAGCATCATAATACGTAAAGGGATGGCGTGACCTAGCAGTAGAGCGCTAGACTACTAACCTAATGTCTCGAGTTCGAATCAGCGTCCAAGTCAGTAGAACGTCATTGAGTCCACTCAGCTGTTATCTAGGTACCTAACACATGTTAGGGTATGTAAAGGCGGCTGGGCATTGTGCTGAAAAAAATTATCCCTTCTTACACCAAGGTCTCAGAAACAGATAAACTCTACTTCAAGTACGCAATAGTCCGTCAGGTTCAAAATCGTAATTTTACTATAAATAATAATGATAAAAACTGATGTCATTTTTAACAAAGTAATGAGTGTTGATGTTAGTCCTACATGACAAAAACCCACAACAGTATATCATCAATGAAAATACTAAGTGATTAACTACACGTAAATCTTGAGGAGTCTGTCGTTTCTCCCTGAATATTTTTCACAATGACCTGCACACTAATTTGCCCCAAGAGGAATACACCAACTATAACAAGTACAACGGCTGTTCCCGTCAAAATATGGTGTTTCATGGCTTGTTTCTCTACGGTTTCTGTTCTACTCTGCATCAACTTTAGCAAACATAAACCTGGAAATTGATAATATTAATTAGGAAATAATATTTTGAGTATATATATATATATATATATATATATATATATATATATATATATATATATATATATATATATATATATATATATAAGAGAGAGAGAGAGACAGAGACAGAGAGAGAGGGGGATTCGGAGAGCTTTATAAAGATAAATATTAAATACATATAGGCCTATATAAAGAGAGACTATATAAATAAATAAATAAATATATATATATATATATATATATATATATGCGATGTGTGAATAGCAGCTGAGTATTTCTCCAATTTCTTAGTTATAGACTATAACAGGTTTAACGTGTATACCTGTTAGCTGTTTTTCAAGCGATTAATCACGATTGAGTTATACATTAAATTTTATCCATAATTAATTTAATCTACGTGTGATTGACCTGGGAATACAAACACACAAAAGGCAGACAGTCCCCCAAGGATCTGTATGGCCACGCCTATGTTGGGGACGAAAACGGATGAGATCAGGGTCAAGGTGAACCACACCAATGTAGTGATGACACGTCTCGTCTTTTCGCTGTACAACATGTCTTCTGGACTCATTTTCCAGAACATTCTCCATACGGTTTCAAATGCAGTCCTGCAGAATAAGGAGTAGATTGTGCACATCACAATATATGCTAATGTCGAACTCTAGTCTTTACCTTTACAATTTAATTTTAAAATAAATGTATTTTAAATTTATTTTAATTATAGTTTAGCAAAGCTAACAATAACATTGATAATGACGAATAATCCCTCTCCGCTTCACCCCCCACCCAATAGAAACCACTTGCATTTTGACAGCAATTTAAATTAATCCAGCCAAACACCATCTTTAATGCCCTATACATAATATCTTTTTAAAACAATACTTACAGATAACTATTCAAATCTTTAAGCACACGAAGAAGATAAAATGAGTTGTTTCTAGGTGTTATTTTTTATGTGCACTGTGTTTCTACATAAGTTATCAGACAAAAATCTAAGATATCAAACTTAAACTGATAGGTAAATAGAAACATCTTGAAGAATATTGGCACATACAAACAGCTGTATCCTAGACATACACACCGCATTTGGTTATATATATATATATATATATATATATATATATATATATATATATATATATATATATATATATATATATATATATATATATATATATATATATATATATATATATATATATATATATATATATATATATATATATATATATATATATATATATATATATATATATATATATATATATATATATATATATATATATATATATATATATATATATATATATATATATATATATATATATATATATATATATATATATATATATATATATATATATATATATATATATATATATATATATATATATATATATATATATATATATATATATATATATCTATATATATAAAGCAAAGTGGTCAAGTGCCCGATAGGGCACTTCCCGGCGCCGCAGGCGCGTCAAATTTGGCACGATGGTGCCTTCGGGCGATAGAACACGAGGGCCGGTGACGGTTGGCCGAATAATATACGGAGAGGGGGTCAAAACTGACCTCGACTGACCGGCGCCTTATATGGGCTATATTACGAAAAAAAATTTCCTCCGACGACCCCCCTTGATATTTTGTGAGGTGGTAGGAGAATGCCTTGGGGTGTCACAAAAAACTCGGCATATCTGGGAAAACTTCGTAAAGGGGTCAAAACTGACCAGTCGTATTTCCCTATATAATCTTTGTATTTTATGGGGAAAACAGAGGGTCATTTCAAAACGGATTTTAGGGCACTTACCTTCTTTACATCTGGCTAAGTTTTGGCATGCTTATAGGTAAATGGCTTGGCCGTAGGGCAGACATGTCGGTTTCACTCAAAGCCCTCGAAGAAAAAAATTGACCGCGAGTGAAATTCTCTTTATATGAGCTCTATTACGAAAAAAAATTTCCTCCGACGACCCCCCTTGAAATTTTGTGAGGTGGTAGGAGAACGCCTTGGGGTGTCACAAAAAACTCGGCATATCTGGGAAAACTTCGTAAAGCGGTCAAAACTGACCAGTTGTATTTCCCTATATAATCTTTGTATTTTATGGGGAAAACAGAGGGTCATTTCAACGCAGGCTTTAGGGTACTTAAACTCAGTATATCTGGCTAAATTTTTGCATACTCTTAGGTCAATGGCTTGACCTTTAGGGAAAACTGTCGGTTTCACTCAAAGCCCTCGACGAGGGCTAAAAAGTGACCGCGAGTGAAATTCTCTTTATATGAGCTCTATTACGAAAAAAAATTTCCTCCGACGACCCCCCTTGAAATTTTGTGAGGTGGTAGGAGAACGCCTTGGGGTGTCACAAAAAACTCGCCATGTCCGGGAAAAATCGGGAAATGGGTCAAAACTGACCAGTCGTATTTCCCTATATAATCTTTGTATTTTATGGGAAAAACAGAGGGTCATTTCAACGCAGGCTTTAGGGTACTTAAACTCAGTATATCTGGCTATTTTTTTGCATACTCTTAGGTCAATGGCTTGACCTTTAGGGAAAACTGTCGGTTTCACTCAAAGCCCTCGACGAGGGCTAAAAAGTGACCGCGAGTGAAATTCTCTTTATATGAGCTCTATTACGAAAAAAAAAATTCCTCCGACGACCCCCCCTTGAAATTTTGTGAGGTGGTAGGAGAACGCCTTGGGGTGTCACAAAAAAACTCGGCATATCTGGGAAAACTTCGTAAAGCGGTTAAAACTGACCAGTTGTATTTCCCTATATAATCTTTGTATTTTATTGGAAAAACAGAGGGTCATTTCAACGCAGGCTTTAGGGTACTTAAACTCAGTATATCTGGCTAAATTTTTGCATACTCTTAGGTCAATGGCTTGACCTTTAGGGAAAACTGTCGGTTTCACTCAAAGCCCTCGACGAGGGCTAAAATGTGACCGCGAGTGAAATTCTCTTTATATGAGCTCTATTACGAAAAAAAATTTCCTCCGACGACCCCCCTTGATATTTTGTGAGGTGGTAGGAGAACGCCTTGGGGTGTCACAAAAAACTCGGCATATCTGGGAAAACTTCGTAAAGGGGTCAAAACTGACCAGTCGTATTTCCCTATATAATCTTTGTATTTTATGGAAAAAAACAGGGTAATTTCAATACAATTTTTACGTTACTTAACCTCTGTACATCATGCTAATGTTTTGCATACACTTCTATAGATGACTAGGCCGTATGGAAAAACTGTTGGTCAGACTCAAAGCCCTCGACCAGTGCTAAAAGATGACCGCGAGTGAAATTCTCCTTATATGAGATATATATAAATAATTTGACGATCGATCCCGTTAATATTATTTGAGGTCGTAGACCGACCCTGGAGGGTAACAAAAAAACTTTAATCCCGTCGGAAAAAGCTATTGTAGTCGTTAAATATGTTTATATATCGTATTTTCTTATATAAGCATAGTAACTGTTTGTTTAAAAAAAAAGTAAACACAGAGATACGTCATTCGGTTAATTTCCAAGGGAGGTAACCTTTTTAAATAATTATTTTTCAAATAATTGTATACTATTTTAAACAGAAACAGAAAACTACAAAGTATAGCATTTGTTTTAGATAAAAATAAGTTATTAATTAAGCTACGTATCATAATTAAATAAAAAATTAATTTTAACAGTCAATGTAATATAAATTATAAGATATACTGTTCATGGAACCTCTGTAGTTCTATTTCCATCTTAGTTATAAATTGCGTACTTTCGAACACTTTCTCTGCAGGCTAATGTTAAAGAGCATAGGCCTACAACAGGGGTCGGCAACCTTTTGAAGCGGAAGAGCCAAAAGTTACAATTTTCAAAATTTCCCTGGTTTTAAAGAGCCACTAACGTTTTTTTATTTCAAATATTTTATTTTTTTATTAAGATTATTAGTATTTGTGTAAGGAGCTGGAGAGCCGCAACTTGATATCAAAAGAGCCGCATGCGGCTCGCGAGCCGCAGGTTGCCGACCCCTGGCCTACAACATCTTCTCTAAAATTAGCATTACTGTTTACATTTAAGCACTCCACGCCTCATCCATCACCTAATAATTACTATTCAAATTATCAAATGTTTTTGAAAACCTAAGCGAAGCTAGGCAGTATGCCTAGTATATATATATATATATACATATATATATATATATATATATATATATATATATATATATATATATATATATATATATATGTATGTATGTATGTATACATAAAGTGTCATATAAAACAATCAACAGTGTATTTTTGCGAGTGTGACTTACTTTCCGCAGTAGCATATAATGGGGTAGGAGGTGCATACTTTGACAGCCACAAGAACCACAGCAACCATCACCTCAGCTGTAGGTTTAAACGACAGCAGTATGTCGTTTGCAATATCGTCACCAAACTGTAAGAAAAATATCAAACATTTCGTCACACGAACCGAGATTATATTACAGATTGTGTTTTAATATCATGGATTGTTGCATTCGCAATTAACTATTTATAAAGTCTACATACATTAAGTTATTTTTTAAATACATTCCTTTTACCATTTAGTCTTTGAATATTAAATAAGTGCCAACATTGAAATAAGCTTACTAAATGTATTAATTTAAGTAATAAAAAAATACGTTTTAGGTCATTTTCAATAATTTTTTTAACATCTAAATTTGATAAATGAAAAGAAAAATCTGATATTTTCAAACATCCTTTTCACATCGTCGAATAAAATAAATAACAAATACTAAGGAAAATCAGAAATGAGGGGTAAATACAAAACCCGAAACAAACCTGTAGATAACCTAAAGCAGCGGTGAGCGTGTAGAATACGATACACACTATCAAGGCAAGTGTTACTGTTTTAGAGAACTCTCTCATGTTACGTTTGGCCATACAGGAGTAGATAGCGATGATTTCGATATGACACTGAAAGAACGATATATATATATATATATATATATATATATATATATATATATATATATATATATATATATATATATATATATATATATATTTCAAGTAAACAAAGTTTAAAGTAAACAAAAAATTGTTCCTCATTCTCTGGATAAAACTTACATCATAGCCTAGACATACGTTTGGTAATACAAGGAAAATATCAACCCATGAACGCGGTCTGAAAATGAAAAAAAATGTAATACTAAAATCATGAAAAAATTAAAAACTGTGTTTTGGTATTATAAGAAAAAAGCTCAAATCAGTAAACTATGCTCATGTACAGAATATGTTATAGTCTTTTAAAATAACCTTCTATAACTAATTTTAGCAATTTTAATTATAAACCTGGGAATACATGTTTCCATCGCATGTATTTATTGGTTAAGGTATCATAAAACAAGTTTATGTTAAAAGTTAACTTACTCTGTGGTGATGGTGTCTGGTGTATCATGAGGTAGAAAATACTTTGTTGTTACCAGCATAGCTAAGTATAAGCTACTTATAACACCAGCGATACTGGGAGGAAATATAAATGACACTAGAATTAAGAAGAAGAAGATGAAATTCAATATGAAATCTATATACACGTTTATGCACTCAGGTATTGTTTGTTTACAAACATATTCTACGAGAACACAATGTAAACAACAAGCACAAGTGACTTAAATAATAAACAATTTATATATTTACCTGGTGTAAATCAAAAAATCAATTCTTTTTGTAAAACATAAAGGAAGTATAAGGACCACTGCCGTTACGGATATAATGAAAGCCCTTCTCATGTAGATCGGATGGGTTGTACAGTAAATGTCCTGAGCTACTTTAAAAAAGACTGAAAGTAAAATTCGATGAAATCACATAAATGATGTCAACTAAATGTACATTTCGTCATTTTGTTTATTGCTACAAGGATGAGGATTTGATGTTCACTTATAAACCGGTTAGTTAATGAATATCAATAATTAGGAATAATAAGTTACTGTAAAAAAACAAAGGTAGTTGCCTTTTCTTTCAAAACCTACGGCTCATTGGAAATGTGAGGAAGAGTTCACCAGTTTGATTAACCTCGGGATTTGAAGGGATAGTGTGGTCAGCACTATGCCCAGACAATTTTACCTCACTTAGGAACCCAACAGAACTAGGGGGACTACGTATTCTTGCCAGGAATTCGAACTCGAGACTTGAGTCGTCCTCTGTACCATTTAAATTGGACCAAAAATGTGTCCCTGACATGTTACAATGTGCACGATTTATTTTTATATATGTATAGGCCTATATATTTGTATTAAATATACATTTGTATATATATATATATATATATATATATATATATATATATATATATATATATATATATATATATATATATATATATATATATATATATATATCTTCATTATATATATATATATATATATCTTCATTGTTATAAGCACGATTATAATTATAATACTTCCATATTTTCACATTAATTTTCATTATTTTATTATTCCAAAATTGCACTATTTTCACAAGAGCATTATGTGTACCTCAAACATTGTATTGCAATTAGTTTTAGAACATCTATTGTTACCGAGTTCATTGACCCTCATTAAGCTTATTATGTTAGTTATGCAAATGAGACTTACATAGTTCCCATTGATCACCGATGATAATGAGAAAGGATATACAGAATACAAAACAGTGCAGTAAAATACAAACAGCACAAGCCAGCTGGGCTTTTGGGCCACAAAGGGAGAGAACCACGTCTTGGTAGGTGTTGCTTCCCTTTACAGTGGCGCAGTAGCCCATGATGAAGACAGTAAGCACCATGACGGCTACACAGATCTGACAAAAAATGTATAATTTTATTTTAATTTTTGCTTCTATACAAAGTTTTAAATACAGTACTACTTACTTTAACGTTTTTTTTTTTTAAAAATAGTATATGTTTTATTCATAAAATTAATTTAATAGACTGACGAGTATAAGCAACTACTACGGTTACACATTCAATATTGTCGTCGTTTCGGTATATTTCAACAGTACAGGCATATTTCCTCGGTGCGCGGACCTTTGACTACAGGTGCTTTGACCATAGGGGATTTGACCATAGGGGGTTAGACCACAGCGGAGCTTTGACCATAGGGGGTTTGACCACAGCGGGGCTTTGACCATAACGGAGCTTTGACCATAGGGGGTTTGATCATAGGGGTTTGACCACAGGTGTTTTCGCAGCAGAGGGTCTTTGATCACAGGTGGTTTGTCAACGGGTGTTTGATCACAAGCGCTGTGTCCGGCTTTAAACACAGGTATTTTTTCCTTATATGGTCTTTGATAATAAGCGCTTTGTCCAAATATTGTAATGATTTATTTTAAATGTTGTGTAATTATTTTTTAAATTGCGGCAGGATATAATAATATGTTAATTCATCATATATAAATACAAATCATCTAAACCATACAATTATTACTTCTTTGACTACACTGTTGGCATGTTTTTATCCTTTGTTATCCTTTCTATTTGTATTTTCAAGTACATCTACATTATTTATTTGTGAAACTTGTTTTTATGTTTTATTTATGTTCCATTTAAAATAAATTCTATGAGGCGTAACACCAGCCTTTATGTGGAGACTAAACTATCGTTCTTAACTTTTTTTTAGTACGTTTATTTCTATTAATGGACTCCCAGGAAACATGTATAAAATCGTATTAATTGTATCACAAATTTAAATCAAATAGCAATTTATAATATCTATTTTAAAATCTATATATTATGGTTAACCCCGCACTATGGTCAAAACCCCCTATGGTCAAACCCCTATGGTCAAACCCCCTATGGTCAAACCCCCTATGGTCAAACCCCCTATGGTCATAGCACCTAGGACCCTTTCCTCGGGTGGTAAAGAACCCCCCGTTCACCTCCCCCCCCCCCCCGAACGAAATAGAAACTATATTGAAAATTTTTAATTTCCCAGTGTCCCGCATCCCTCCCTCCACCACCGACGTTTGAAAAAGTCTGAATAGAACACTGTATGTAAAAGTTTTACCCCCTTTTATTTTACATACAATATTGTACATGACATAGTTTACAATTTTTAGAGTATGGATAGTACTACATATTAAATATATATTTCTCTATAAATATATACGAAATATTTTCATTAGTTTAGTTCAGAAAAAATAGGCGTTTCACGTCTAACCTATAAATCAACTACTTTAATAGGAAAACATCTCAAATACCACGTGTTTAACGCCATTTAGCTATGTACGCAAAGACAACACTAAATTCTACTTTTTAATAAGTTTAGAGACTTGACCAACTCACTGACTGGACGGTCATTGCCGTGAGGACTCCGCCAGCCTGGTGATAGGCCATGGGGAAGTTGAGAAGTCCGGCACCAAGTGTGGCGTTGACCAGAAGAAATGCTGACCTAATCCACCCAGATCCTGGCATTTTGAAAGATGGTAGAATAGTTCAGCTCGTTATTTCTAATGTAATATTATTTTTAAAATTTAAAAAGTAAAACAAAGAAAATAAAGTGGGAGTGATCTCCTCTAAATTTTTCTTATATAACACTACGGAATATGGCAACTCGGGATATAGACATAATTTTTAATAAATTTTTAATTATTTAAATTTAAAAAAATAGAATAGAATCTCGTAGAAAAAAGAACTGTGCACAAAGTGCACAGCGAAAAATCCGTGTCTACTAGGGCGGAATATAAGTACTTATGCGTCTTTTTAGAAATAGCCAAAAACCTAAAGTACTACTTCTGTTGAAAACATAACAGAAAGCAGAGAGTTAGATATTTTACTTATACGTAAAATTTCATCTATCTATCTGAAACAGTACTCAAGTTACAAGCTTTTGAAAATACAAAATTATAATACGTTCCACTTCCAGTTACCGGAAATTGCTGCAAAGTTAATACAGAACTACAAATTTGATATATTGTTATTGCAGTAACTTGAACACGAAATTGCAATATTATATTGAAAAACAATAGTGGATTGCAAACTTGAGAGATATTTAAAATTCAGTCAACAACAGTACTCAGAAATGTGAAATAACAATTAGAGTCAAATAGAAGCTTATAATTTAAACCATCGTGGTAATTAAAAAGTGATAACATTTTTATAAAGAATAAAATACATTTTCATGGTTAAATAAGTGTGGAATAGCTTAAAATGTTCTAACCTGGTTTTTGACCCGCGCTGCCGTTGAATGAACAAAATGCTGTCCGTGATTTTAGCTCAACACACCCAGTTACTAAACACTCGGACTTGAAGTAACTTTCTTGAATTGTCGTCAGCGTCTTGAGGAACATTATTCCAAACCTTTGACGACAATGTTTCAACAGTTGAATTGTCTATATCTTGCCATTAATAATGACATTTATAAAAAAAAAGTAATTGTTTTAATGTAAAGTGCTAAAAATTAAGGAATTGAGTTATTACAATGCAAAGCCTCCTTTGCTTTCCCTAACGTGAGTCAGGTACCCTAAAGGATTTGAACTTAAGACTTTTGGGTTAGCATTCTTACTCTATACCCTCCGACATTACCGTCTCATAAGTAAAGAAATATACTTTATATTATATTATAATTCAGAAAATGGTAACGACACTTAACGTTCGTTTTAAGCAATACTTACGTTAATGTAGGGCGATAATGTATCATAAAAATTTACATATTATCCCAACATATATAACTTCTACTACTTCTTTAATAATAGTGTATAATTAATTTTCTGCTTTTATGTGCATTATTACATAAAAGCTTGTTATTAAAAAGTTTTTTTATGAAAATAAATTTTAGTACTTGTCTTGACCCACGTTCCAACTACGAACCGTATCTGTCAGTTCGAAGGGCCAGTATATTCGCTCGGGCGTTTCGATCTAGAAAGACAGACAGATGAATTGAGTTAAATAAAAGCTTGTAAAAACAAAAGTATCATTGTTATCACGTAAAATATTACGTTTGAAAATATATTTTAAATTAATTAATTATTATTTTATGGCTGAGATATTTCAATTTAGTAAAGCATCAAATATTTACTAACTTACTATTTGCTATAACAAAGATTTCTTGTATTTCAATGATGGTATTTAAGCACACTACCTGATGATCCGCTGTTGTATTGTTTTGATCTGAGGACTAAAAATGTGAGCAGTCCTAAGCAGAAAAAAAGTTCTGTCAAATTTATATGTACCCTAGTGAAACGTAAATGCACGATGGAATGTCACGAATAGTAAATGAAAACTTGGAATTTAAAGTACAAGCGTATTTTGTAGGTTGACATTTATTTATAAAAACAGGCTAAACAGCTGGCCATTATACGCCACAGTTAAACGAACATTAACACCTTTAATTATTTATAATTAATCATTATTGTTAAGTCTACATAAAGCCACTAACGATTAAAACTAACAAAATATTATCTGTTGACGTTTTTTTTTAGTTGTTTTCCTATTATTAAAAAAATGTTGATTTTATTTATCTTCATGCATAATCTATTCAGCCAAACAAAAAAATGTGGGCTATAGGTTCTCTATTCCTGTTGTATTAATTCTTATAGTACAATTCAGTCACGTATGTAAATGTTTATGGAATTAGTAGGTAATGTATGCCATTAAAAGCTAATAAATATTAGTCTATTTTCATCTATATAAATACATATGAATGTATGTTGGTTTTATTTTTTAAATTTCGTTTGCATTACTTCACCTTTAACCTGGTTGCCGTGATACTGTAAGTTTGGAAGTTTTCTATGATGAAGAATATGTTAAGTTATGAGAGACATTAACGCATTGTCTGTTGCAGTTTGTCGTTCAGAACTCCCCCGTTGCTATCTTAGCACCTGGGATCTGTTGATTGACCTCCTGCACTGGTGGTCAGTGGTAAAGTTGGTTCAACTGTCAGACTACACCAGGAGCATCCACCGGCGACTCGAACCCCCAAGTGAGCATTATGACGACTACGTTCTTTTTAAAGTTCCACAAACTACGGATACGGTGAGCTACTATAATTGCTGATTTAATAACATGATACAAAATTCAAGTTTATTAAGAATGTAAACTTGATAATGCTAATATATTAGCATGTTTTCCGTTCAGGTATTTGTTGCATTCGGGCAAATGTCCATTTGGGGAAAAAGCATTCAGGCAAATGTCTAGAACGGTTTACAGTTGCTATGACTTGCCACATGGTGTGGCTGAACCACACGTTAACATTGGATTTGAACAGGTTAGTTTGGGGGATATAGTGGTTTTGAAAATTGTAGGTTTCGTGTGGTAGTGTGGGGCTCATTAGCGAACCACAAGTGCATTTGTGCAGCATAGATTTTGAGAATACAATAAAATTAATGTTAGTTACCCTTTGGGTATTGTTCGATGTCCTTCACTTTTTGATACTGTGGTCAGTTACATGCCCAGTCCCCTTTACACTTTAATATGTGTGTATGGTAGCACTGAGTAAAATGCGTTGTGATTAAAAAATGCAATAGTTTATAATGCAATCCATTAAGGTATGACAACTCTCACAATACTTAAAATTTTCGCATTATTCGTCGATTACCTCCCTTTTTGCAATAGTTAAAGTTAATACATGTTTCTTTGTACATGCTTTTATCTCTAACTTTTATTTTTTTCACAATGTTTGTGAATTTGTGGCGAATTTCGTAGGTCTATTTTGACTTTATTCTACTGCTGGGTTTTGTTCAAATTTTCCAGATACACACTTCTATAATAATGCAAGAATATTTTTTTTAAATCGAATTAAACATAAGGCTGGTCATTACGGTTTAATTTAACATTACTATATTAAAGAATAAAAGTGTGTGTATGTGTGTGTGGGTGGGGAGGGGGGGGGGGTGAAGAGATGAATAAATACTAGCGATCGTTTGATCAGAAGACATATTGATTTTTTTAAGTGATTTTTCTTTTTGCCTGATCGTCGAACATGAGCTGAGAATGAGCAGATAATTATCTTATAGAAATGTAAAGTTACTTATCGTGTTTTTAAAGCAAATTTTTTAAAAAAGTATCTATTTTATTATTTCATTTTCATTCGAATCGAATGCCAAAAAAAAAAGAAGGAAATAAAGGAAATAAAACAAAAAATTTCAAAAATATTTATTATAATAAGCTTTTAAATACACTAAGCTCATTGATATCTTTTATATTTTACAGCGACTAATCATTTTATTATTTCAGTGTATTTAAGCGTTTCTTTTATAAAGGTTTTTTATAATTTGTTGTATTTTCAATTAATCACTCGCGTATCCTTACCAATCAGACTGGAGAAAATAGAAGTAGTTAATGACATAATCATTAAGCAATCTCTACGGGGGCAGTGTGTCAGAGTGGTAGAGTACTAGACCGCTAACCCGAACGTTCTGAGATCGGAAACCTGGTTGGAGGACATTCCAGATAGGCACCCGACTCAGATTAGGGCCACAAAGGCTGCTAGGCACAATGCCGAACACACCATTCCGCATGTATGTCGAGGCTAGCTTCATCTACTATGTGTCTCAGGCACGAACAATAAACGATGAAGATAACTGCTTCTAAAATATTTTTAGTTTGTTTTATTGTTAAAAAGTGTTAATGGTGCAAATATGTATTAGATCTCACAAGGCGATGATGAAAATAACACAAAGGCTAGCTAGTAAACTAAGCAAACTAAAGCAGTTATTAACACGCCTAAATCATACTGTATTATTATGAAACACAAAGGACTAATGATATCGGTAATAATACTTATATCTAGCTACATGTACATATGGATGATGAAATATTTTTTTTATTGTATTAGACGACATACATACGATTAATAATATCAGTAATAATACTTTAATCTAGTGACACGTGAATATGGACGAGTCAGGCTTGACACCACGAATGTCTTTCATTATGGATTGCGACAACGTCAGTCCAATGATAAACACACCAACAATGAGAAAGGCGATGGCTATTCCCTTCAATACGTGAACTGTCTTGGTCTGTTTCTCTCCTGTTTCAATTCTATTCTGCATAGTCTTCAACAAACATAAACCTTGAAAATAGACACAATATATTCTGAAATGTATTTTACGCTTTTATAATAGTTAAAATATTATACATACAATAAATCATAAAATATTGTTTTTTTGTAAGCTTTGGTTCGGAATTTATTTAAAAGTTATTAAATTAATACAAAAAATATCTAATGGGTCATTGGGACACCACACAGTGGTGTGTATAGGGCTAACTATCTCATGGCGGGACCCACCCTACCCCTCGACTGACCATTACTGGAAGGTCTAACGCCCAATGATGTCGGGTTAGCGTCCGTTGTTTCATTTTAGATTTATCTCTATTAGGAGAGTTGATGTCTCCAAATGTCGAGCCTCATATAACCAGGGTTTTGAACTCACGCGTTTTGGGTTTAGCAACCATGAGCTGTACCGACACGA